CAGAAAAGTTAAGATATATCCAGTGGCGTATTTACGATTTTGCCATTTTGGCACCCCTTTTTTTCTCAGTTTCCATTTACTCATTGCCACAAAAACTCTAATTTACAATTTACTTTTTCTCTCAGTTAATAGTGCAAGGCTTGAAACCGTTATAAACCATTATACAACCGAAACCGAAAACAAAATCCAATCCGAAACCGAAAAAAATTGGTATTATAATTAAAAACCTAAAATATAGTTTAAAAAAGGTGGATAAGTGGGTGTCGCTCTGCTGTACAGTAGGTTACAAGTGGGTCACTGTATAATGGATGATATTAAATTTGAATTCAACGATATAATATCATTGTATAAGAAAAACGATTCTGAGCGGAGACGGTATGTCAGTCTATGTATAAGACATATTATATACATATCTATGGTATTAAACAAAAAATTGACCTGTAATAGGCAGTACCGGATCTACAAATTATACAACCCGGGGCACAACATAATATTAGCGCCCCTAAAAGTCACCAATAAAAAAATGCATGAGTCCTAAAGTGTGTCAAAATACGGATTATTATTATAGGCGATTTATATTTTAAATATTCATACAATTAATCAAGATATTTTACATTTATTTAATATTTATACATTATGGAAATGTTTATTTTCAATAAAAAACAAATAATTTAGAATTTAAACCTATATTTAATAAATACCTGTTTAATAATTATTTTTCTTGATTTTTTTGACGCGAATTCTTTAATGATATCTTCATAATCTATGGATTTAGCAACTTGGTGCTCAATGGATATAATTGACAGGTCATTTAATCTTGTTTGCTTTGTAGTTGATCTTAGATATGATTTAATTAGTTTCAGTTTACTAAAACTACGTTCACAAGATGCCGATGTAACGGGTAATGTCAAAAATATTTGATAAGCTGTGAATATGTTAGGATAAGCTTCTTGAAGACTATTTTTAAGAATAAAATTTAAAATTTCATGTGAACGAGCATCTATTAATTTATTATCCAATTGAATTGCATGTTGAGTAAAACTATCCAACTCTAAAATTAATTCATTTTTGTCAATATCTTTTTCATATTTGATACAAAAGTCCATAGCATGTTTTTTTAATTGATTGTGTTGGCATACTAAATAAAAACTTTCCATCTAAAAAAGAAAAATCTTTTGCAGCTTCATCAATTGAGTCAAATCTTTCTTTTAAGCCGTTCAAGATTCTATCACAGACGTTTTTCATTAAAATTCTAAATTTATTTTCTTCGGATAATGTTGATGATTCGTCCTCCGCTAATTCACCAGGCATTTTTTTCTTTTTTCTAACTCGAATCGATGGAAATACCGGTTCTATTGATAGCTCAGTTGATTTTTGTTTTGATTCATCAAGTGCTTCTTCAATACCTTCTTCCCTAAATTTCTCAATAAAATATATCAGACCTTTTAAGTGTTGAGTGGCTATATCTATTGTAATGTTCTGTTTTTGTAAAATTACATTAACTCTATCAATTGCCGTTAATATTTTATTCCATATTATTAACATACATATAAATTTAAAATTTGCTATCCCTTTCAACAAACCATTTAATTCAACACTTGCTTCTTCACATAAATTACTATTTTTGAGTAACTTACAAACATGAATAACTTGGCCTAACTGCAAATATAATGATTTAACAGCGCGTTGTTTTGCAGACCATCTGGTCGTACTATAACCTTTCAATGAAAATTTAAGATGTTCTTTAAGAATATCCCATCTCTGAGTAGAACTAGAGAAAAAATTGAACAATTTTTGAACTATACCAAAGAAATTTTCTAATTCTGGTGAACATTTAGCGGCATAAAGGCCTACTAAGTTTAGACTGTGGGCCGTACAAGGAATAAACCTTATTACTAATAGGTACCTATAATAAATTCCAAATTAATCATATCACAATATCCATTAGGTACTTATAACTTATAAGCGTTATACATCAACAAAAACCGTGATACTATCATAGATATATAATAGTACACTTTAGAAGTTTCAAGTACCCACGAATAATATTATTCAATCACAACAAAATATCTAAAATAGTTATTCTAGGTTTTTTAATATGTAATTTCGTCCAAATTTGAATTTCAAATGTCTGTAAAAAATAACTGTGTTCATATATTTTTTAGATTTTTTGGTTACAGTATGAACTATTTACGAGAACCTTTGTGTTGAATTTGCAATCCTTAGCTATACAAACTGAACATTTTATAATTTATTAATTACAATGATTGATAATTTTCGAGATTTTGATAAATTTTGTCAAAATTTGATCTTTAAATGCTTATAAAAAAAAACTGTATATATGTATTTTTAATATTTTTCAACTGATATTGTAACAATATATCAGGAGCCTTGTATTACATTTTTACACTTTTTGGCCCAACAGATAAAACTTTATTGATATTTATAGAAAAAAAAACTAAACAAAATTGAAAGCTGTAAATGTCCATAAACAGCTCCAAAAGAGTCAAAATATTGTCAAAATTGTATGGTGTATAGAAAATGCTAATTTAAACATTCAGTAAAATTTTCATGTATCTACAGTTGTTCGTTTTTGAATTGCAACAAAATAAGGAAATCGCTACATGAGTAATCGAGTGAATATCCAATGTTGTAAAAATTTGAATTTCAAACGCTCATAAAAATTTAATTTGACTGTCCGATAGAGATTTTTTTATTGATAAAGGTAGATAATCTTATAAGGAATCTTGTGTTTCATTTTCAAATCTTAGATTTAAAAAGAAAAATTTTTACGAATTCTTAACTCAAAATAATTTGCTAATTTTCGTGATTTTTCCATATTTTGTCAATTTTTGAACTTTAAATGCTTATAAAAAAAAATTGTGACTAAGGATTTTTAATATTTTTCATCTGCCTTTGAAACAATATATTAGGAGCCTTCTATTAAATTTTCAAGCTTTTGCAACCAACAAATGAAATTTTATTGATATTTTTAGAAAAAAAACTAAAAAAAAATGGAAAATGAAAATGTCCCTAAACAGTTCAAAATATATCAAAATATTTTGAAAATTTTATCGTGTATAGAAAATGCAAATATAAACAACCAGTGAAAATTTCATGTATATACGTTCATTTGTTTTAGAGTTACACCAATAACCAAAATCGATTTTTTGGAAAACCAATTTTGCGTAAAAATTCCCGTTTTTCCTTAATTTGTATGTTGTTTTTCCCGGCGCTTGTGAAAACTACTGGGAAATTTATACTTTTGACTCCCCAAAGTACCAACTAGATTCACTTTCCTATCAGAAAAGCTACTGATGAAGAAAATCCAAGCACTTTTACTGTCCTAAAACGTGATGACAGACACAAAAAAAAATATAAAAATATAAAAACACACATCATTGTAAAACCAATACATTCATCGCTCCGCTCAGAATCTAAAACGGTATTTTTTTTGAAAATCTTTGTATCTTGAAATTTTGGAAAGTTTACTTTACACAATAGGCGATCGGATGCTCGATCCAGCGATTCAAAGAAATTAATAAACTAAGAATGAACGTAAATAGTCCAGGTCTTGAAACCGATTTTTGAAACCGGTATAAACCATTTAAAAACTGAAATCGATAACAAAATCCAAAACCAAAACCGAAAAAAAATCGAAAACCGGTGTACAAATCAAAACCAAAACAGAAATTTATTCAATCGGTTTCAAGCCATGTAAAAGTGATAGTTGATAACCCAAAATGTATATTTTCCCCTTATTGCATTTATGCTTCCACTAATTTAGAGAACACTTTTATTTTACTATTAACACTCCGTTTATTCCTAATTAATTAAATAAACAAATTATAATTTTGATTTTAGCCTTTTTTTACGACAATTTAATAAAATACATTATATATATATATATATTACATATAAATATGTATAGAAATGTAAAAAATATTATAAGAAAGATACAGGTATTCACTTATCAGTTATCACTAATATAATTTCTCGACAAATCCAATAAAATAAAAAAATAATTTTGTTATAACCTCTAGCAACGGCGCCCCCTTTGAGGACTCTGAATGGGCAATTGCCCCCCTTCATCCTCCCTAAATACGCCACTGGATATATCTATAACATCATACACCGAATATTAAATAATGCATTGAACAAAGTTTGAGTCATATATAGGTTGTACATTTAAGGGGTAACGAAGTACACGGAATCAGCTAGTAATTAGTATTATATTATACGAATTAATGTTTGTGTGTGTCTGTGTGCCCTTTATGCATTCCTAAACCGTTCATCCGATTGCGATGAAATTTGGTACGGAGATAGATTAGATCATGAACATATAATAAGGATTAGACCTCTGGAAAAAAGATAGGATAATTTAAAAACGGTAAATTAGAGGTCCAACCACAGATATAAAATACATAGGTATTTTATATCTGTGGGTCCAACCCGAGACGGTGGATTATTATTATTATCAATGTTATTATCTATCGTTATATCTATTGTTTTGTGCTATTATTAAATAATACGGCATATCGCATATCGCATATCGCATATCGCATATCGCATATAATATATGGCAAATTGGCAAAACGTTCGGACAATTTAACATTTTAACTAATTAGTAATAATTTAGGTAATTCAATTTTAAATGTTGAACAAATCTGAATTATCAATGTTATTGTTATCATTATCATTTTTACTTATCACTGTTATTATCTATTATCTATTGTTATTATATAATCGAAATCACGTTTTTTTTTCAAAAAATTCTGAAATCTGAAGTAAGCAGTTTACTTTCAAAGCTTACTGTAAACTGGTGTTAATATTAATATATTGATATCACAGTTTACTTTATTATGAAGTAAATAATTTTAAATAATACAATTAGGTATTTTAAATCTAAATAATAAGCTATTATACTGATATAATATAGTATGTACACAACACGTATTTAAGACGTTATTACCTATCAATTTTATTAGTTATTTTTTAATATGTGTTCGTTATTAAGAAAACCTCTCCATTGGAATTTACCGAAGTTAGTGTGTCCAAGACATACTAGTATTTATACTCAAAGATTACTGTCCGTTGTTACTCCAGATATAATTGTACCTCGCAAAATGAAAGGTAGGTTTGCCAGCGAAGAACAAAAACGTATTATTACAGAATTAGTTATCAAATCAAGTTCCTCAATAATCGATTGGGATGCGTTGAAATCGTCTGTTTTGTCCATAAACCGTGGGTATATAAATGAAAAAAATATTAATGGATGCATCTTAGAGGCATGCACACAACAAAAACGCTTGGACTTGGTCAAGTCATTTATGAAGTATGTGAAAGAATCTAGTCATGGTAAACCTAATATAGCATTAGAACTATTATACATTCGTTCATGTTACAAGTCGAGGAATGAATTGACAGATAATGACCAATATGAAATTCAGACTAATTGTCAGTCTCTGTTTAAAAATAATTTACATTTATTGAATTCAGTTCTTCTTGAAGGTAGTATGACAATATGCAAGTATTATTATTTTAATTTTATTAATAATCTTATTTTGTTATTTAGGTTTAGTAATGGGAATTTGTTGTACACCTTTATGGCGAGACTCTTTAAAATTCATTAAAGAATCAAAAGTTGAAGATACCATAACATTAAACACATTTGTTAGTGTAATTTTAAGAGCTTTTGAAGAAGAAGAAATTGATTTGGGATGGACTACAGTACAAAATATGTTTAATCTACATAGAACAATACCATTAGAAATAGTTGCAGCATGGTTTAATGTTTGTGAAAAAAATGTAAATTGTAGCCATCGTAGAGTATTAGAATTTTTAAGAGATAACGAATATATTATCAGGGACAATTTAGCAGAACTAATTCGTAGCAAATTAAATCAATCTGGAATTAAAACTACTACTACTATGATTTATCATAATAAGTAAATATTATTTATAGTATGCTTAGCTTTGGAGATAAAAATTACATTTTTTAAATAATTTATTTTCTTAGTGGAAAATGTAAGAATTGTAATCAAGTATTGGAACATGCTGAAGTCACGAATTCAGATTTTAAGATACTTCAAGAACGTTTTTTATCTAATGTAATGATTGGAAAAAATATTTTTAACAACTCTTCTCCTCAAGAGTTGAACGATTTTAAAGATTTCATAGAAATAACTGCACCATATGATGTGGTTGTCGATGGATTAAACTTAGCATATGCATATAGAGGAAAAATTGGTGATCATTCTTTAGTAAGTATACTTTGATACAATAGTATAGTATTAATTAGTATATTAATGAAGTGAAATCTTTAATTCAAGTTTTTTATGTAACAAGTGTGTCATGAGACATGCAAAATATTGTTCTGTGGTACTTCTTAGTTAAAACACAGTGCTCGCATGCCTCCACCAGAATTGATTTTGGTATAAGAACTTAAATAGTAAGAATTACCATTCACAACATAATTCTAGTATCATTATAGGTGTGCAAACGGGGTATGCAGTGTATACACTGGGAGCAGACCCACTTTTTAGAGAGCATAATATAAACTATACTTTATCCCACGAGAGAATAATCAGTTTTCGCGCATCACAAATGATTCTATTGGTGTGTCAAGAACCATGTGATCACGCTAACACCGGCTAATTGGTAGGGGATGCTCGTCACTGACGAGAATCGGTCAGCGGATTCTCTTGTGGGATAGAGTATAGGTCCTATTGGCTAAATATACTTATGTTATGTATATTGATAATACAATAGTTATATAATATAAAGTTAGTAGATTTTCATTACAAATGGAAAAACAATTGATTTTGACTTAAAAATTCTTGAAATTTAGTATTTAGTTGTAATAAGTATATGTGACTAGTATTTTAGTCTCTAGCTGTTGTTGTAATCACTCCCCAAAAGGGTACATCTTTTTTCTTTACATTAAATATTCTTCGTACAATAAAATGGTGGGTGTAAAATAAAAATTAGGTCCTAGTTACGCCTCTACAGCTATGCAGGTATTTTAATAGTAATCTATAGGTAAATTATGATTTAATAACATTCATTTCAATTCTTTTTTAAAAATATTAAATATTTTATCTTATTTTACAAATAATAATGAAAAAAAAATTATTATTAGGATGCCACACTCGCATGTGTTGTATTACAAATGCGTAACATAGCAAATTTTCGCTCAGAAAATAACGTTTAGCTCCGTTGGCTTAAACATTAGAGCGATTCAACCTATTATGAAACTTGATCGTAAGAACATTATCTGTGTTCGTACATTGGTTTTTTTAAGATAATTTATTTTTTAAGTGAGTTATGAGCATTTTTATTTTATGCTATATTATTCGAGCATATTTTCTAAAAAATGTATCCATCATAAAAAAACCAACATACAAACCCAGATAATGTTCTTACCGTCAAGTTCCATAATAGGTCGATTCACTCTAATTTTGAAACTAACAGAGGTAAACGTGATTTGCTGAACGGAAATGTGCTATATTGGTGCAAATGTACCCCACCCCCCCAAATGACGTCCCTGATCTATTTTTGTTTTTGTGAACATAGCTATTCTTTTTACATATGCCAACAATTTTAAATGCTCCTTTACTCACTTATTTTACATTAACACAATAACTATATATTTATTTTTACTCATTAGTTATAATTTTTTAAAACCGTTTTGAAATAGCTATTTTACAAAATTTTATTGTACAAAAACATTCTGTTTTATTTTTCTTTTAAATATATGCTATTAAAATCAGAACTATCATAATATAAGTTACGGTTGAAAAAACCGTATTTAAATAACATAATGATTGCCATATAGAAATATTTTGGTAAACTGTTAAAGCACGATTTCCCTGCAGCGTCTAGCATCACTACCGGTCTGGAAGTAGGTCGGCGTCCTACGAGGCCGTGCTGTTCCATTGTTTGATGCTGCAGGGAAACCGTAGCTTTAGGTGATTATTATTAATAATATTTTTGCAAATATTTTGTTATGTAGACCAAGGTTGTTATGAAGAATTTTATTGAAAAGAAACTGAAAGTATTATTAATTGGCAGAAAACATCTAGTAAAAATGCTGGGAAAGGAATTTGATTTTATAAAAAAAAATGCTCACATATTTTTTACAAACGATCTGTAAGAAGATAATTAAATTATACAAATTAACCTTAAGCCAATATAAATATATATTTAAGATGTTTTATTTATTTTGTTTAGGTCTAAAGATGATCCATTTGTTCTATATGCTGCAATGTATAGTGGTGTTGATACAAAAATTCTCACCAGGGATCTTATGCGTGGTCACAAATTTTTATTAGGAGATGCTATCATAAAAAGTATATTTCAAAAATGGTTACAAAAACATAGATTAGGATTAAGATTACGCGCAGGGAATGAAGTTATTATTAAAGTAAGTTTATATGCAATGACATGTTTGTTTTGGCTGTCATATATTATGTCCTACTGGTAAGGTTCTGGCAAACAAACAATAAACAATTTAAAACAAATAAAAAATTCATTGAAATCTAATCATATTATTCCATTAAAAAAAAGTTGTTTGATTTTCCTTTTGTTTGCAATGTAATATTCACCTTTCATTGCCCATTTCTTAATGTATGTACAAATTCATCTCACTTCTACACTTATTACATTGGGCATTTCCATTGTTCAACCAAATATTTTTATTAATTTATAAAATTGGTGATTGACTTATTACTACTTATAATTAAATAAAATTATTTTGCCTATATGTGTGACTGCTTGAGTGCCAAAATTGTAGTGTGCACAGTGAGCTTCCACACAGTGAGAGTCCATACTTTTACGAAATGTCAAAGCCTTGTTATCTAAAGTTATAAATATAAAGTGTTACCAAAGAAAAGAGATTAGACCGTATCTATCATAAGCCCATGTAAAATCTAGGGCTGCAGAGTGCAGACCACATCCTATAAAAGATAACAATGGCTGGTAAAACGCGTTAGTGGAGAGACTGCATACTATATGACAGCCTTTATTATTGTGTGCAATCTAATACATGCATTTATTTTAATGTTTGAAAATTGCAATAAAATAATAATAATATACAATTTTTTGTCTTAGGAACCTATAACATATTTACAAGCTACTCAAGAATCTGCAAATGGAACATGGCATATGCCCTACCAGGAATTCAAAGAACCTGGTTCCTGGTCAAAACCTGATTCATCGCCTGATAAATGGATGTGTATACAAATGTAGACTGAACTATATTATATTTACTTAAATTATGTTGAAAAAAAAAAATAAAAACTATTTTTCTATTATGATTGACAAAAATATATACAGTAATATATTATATAGTAAACTATTGTTGATATTTATAAGTATCTGTACAGATATTTTTAATAATGTTATTATTTAATATATTTTCTAAGCTTAGCTCGTATTGTTGAAAATGTAGGTTTAACAGTACTACCCATTTTTAAAACTTTAAATGGCAATCTTATAGATTCAAAATCTTTTTAAGATGTTTAAATCTATAATTTATATTACTGTTTTTTAAAATGTAGGCTATAAAATCTAACATGACCAAATGTTGTTTTTAAAAGATTATATTATTGATTAAGACATTTGATTTAATTTTTTCTTGGCAATATTTAAATATTATAAATTGTCAAATAAAATAATGGTAATAATTGTGATAAAATAGTTAATTAGTAGTATGAAGAATAGGGACCAGAACTTGATGCACTTTCATCTTTTTTTCTAATACTTACATTCGAGGCTCGTCTTTATAGAAATTTGATTCATGGAATATAGAATTTAATGGTACAATTTTTGTTTTGCTGATTAATTGGTCCATAGTGAAAATAATTTGTATACCTATTACCTATACGGCTATACGCCACTGGTATCATCATTTATAATGAAATGTATAATTCTCTAAACTGATAAACTGTAAACTAGATTAAAATCATGAACTAAGATATATTATTATCTATATACAGTAAAACTCGCTTAAGACGCTCCCGCTTAAGACGTTTTCCCGCATAAGACGCTATTTTCAGTCGGTCCCTATATCATCTTATCCCTATTTCATTCCCGCATAAGACGCTTTCCTGCAAAACGCTCTAGAGAGCTGGTCCCTTAAAGAGCGTCTTAAGCGAGTTTTACTGTAGTTATATAGTTTATCTTAGTTCATGATTAAAATATACTACAAACATTCACAATATTTTTGTTGTATTTTCGCTGCGGCCTGCGGGTATTTTTATTATCGTAAAGAACCGGTGAAATTCAAATAATTTCTGGATATCCCTGATAAATTGTAGGTTAGGTTAGGTATCGTCGAATCTAATTAAATTAATTTAAGTCTTGCCGTTTATATAAAAATAACATTTATTGTATAATAATTTATTAAATAATAATAATGTATAATATAAAAATAGTATACTAATATACTATAAAATAAATGATAACACCATTAACACCAATGTCCAATATATTAGGACTTTTATTTTTAAAGTCGGGGAGTGTCCAGACACGGAGACACCCCCCCCCCCCTAAATACGCCACTGATGGTGTTAGTAATGTCCTTCTTATAAGTTTTTTTTAAAAAATATTTTCCACTTCTAAAGAATTATTTGTAGGTATTTGGCAATAAATTAATACCGTTAATTATAAATGAGTAGGTACCTACTGCAAGTGTTGTTTGTATAATATTTATAACTAATGCTAAAAGTTTTGTGATTAAATTGTAAAAGTGTATATTTGTAGTTTATTAAAAGTGTTTGTACTTTGTGATATCATTTGAATTATAATTATTAATTTGTATCAATATAATATAGGTATATTAATTCCTTGCTTGTTTGAATTTAAGGCATAGGTACCTAGACACCTAGTGAATAGTGATAATTGAATTTTTGTATTTTGTATGGGATAAAAGTATATTAAGAGGTGCATGCTAAGCTATTTCGTTCTCGTCATCGTAGTCTATTCGGTATTTTTAAAGCTTAGGGTATAGGTATAGGTACATATTATCTGACATTTTTAAATCGTCTTTGCACTGCAGCTCTCTGAAATATTCCGACCGTGGTTGTCTAGCTCGAAAATCGTAGTCTTGGCTTAGCCAAGTTGGGGTTACTTACAAGCGACCTTTGGTTTGATTTTCGATAGAAATATTCTGATATATTTATCAACTACCTAACTAAGCCTAAATGTGTCGTCTATGTGCAACAATGAACTGTACATCACGTCGATAGTACGTTATAATATAATATGCACGCATAAGTAGGCATTGGCCCCGGTAAAGGGGTAATGAATAGGCAGCCGTCTCTGCCTTTTTTAAGGCCAAACCTGGCTGCCTATTTATTACGCCTTTACCGGCGAAAATACCTACTTGAAAAATTTCAATACTACGAAAAATGTTCTTTCTACTTTATTAATTTATTCAGGCTTAGAAATGACCACTTCAAATTTAAATAGTAGTTCATAAAGTTAATATTCGTTTGTTTTTGTATAGCATAAAACGTCTTTATGAAGAACAATTTATACTACCTACAATAGGTAGTTGTCGAGTGTACCAGTGGAGGTCAAATATGAAATAGTATTGATATGGGAATTGCCAATTGGGAAATGAAAGGGTAATTTTTAACACGCACATAAAAGGTCAATAAAAACATAATTTAAGAATTTATAGATCGATTTATTAATTGAAAACATAAACTAAAAAGTTAATTAATAGGTAACAATTTTAGATACCTAAATAAGCAAATACAGTTTATGTTGTTTTTTTGCCAGTTCATCTAATACCTCCCTTGGCCCTTGGGTTAAATTAATTACAAATTTACGATCCCATGATGAACACCCATTATAGCCAAGCCATTAAGATAACTCTAAAATAACATAATAAGTTTTAAATTAAAATTGCAACCAATTTTTAATTTAACTATAAAAGAAATGAGAAATAAACATAAAAAGTTATACTTTATATACCTACTTAATGATCTAAATATTTTATGGTTGAACTGTTAATTTAATACTTATTTAATTTATACAAATATTTAATTTTAGCCTAAAGCACATTTTAAAAGTAAAGTATTCACCTCTGCGCAGGGCCTGATTTAGGCAATTTGTGGCCTTAGGCAAAATAAAAAACGTGGCTCCACAAACTTGTTGTACGTATAAAACAAAATAATAATTTATATCAATTTAGTATTTATTTATACATTTTCACAAACATAATTATAATGTTATACATTTTTTATCTCTACAGGCTACAGATTTCTTGTACCTATTATTTATTAATTAATATATATATCCCACCAAAAACATATATGTAAAATGAGAGCCAAGTTCAATACTATAATTATAATATATACCTTGGTTGTTGACTTCAACGACAAAAGAAGTGAGATCTAAATGGGTGCCAACTACTGCCAAGTTAGGATAATATATTGAAGCCTAAGGTGTGACTTGCAGGCTACTTTTCATATACGAATTATTATTATAAGTACCTACTAAAACAGTAATGGAAGAGTGAAGATGATTTTCCGAAGAATAAAATAAGAACTCAAAGCTTTAGAACTTGCAAATGCTATAATATATAATTCGTAGCCAAGTCAGACCTTAGGCTTCAATATATTATTCTAACTTGGCACCCATTTAGATCTCACTTCTTTTGTCGTTGAAGTCAACAACCAAGGCATATATTATAGTATTGAACTTGGCTCTCATTTTACATATATGTTTTTGGTGGGATATCATTACTTTTTGTATGTAAATTATTATAACCTAACCTAACCTAGCCATGACGTATTCTATAAATAAAGTTTATTACTATATAATATAATTCAGTTACTAATATTAATAATAATATTTATTATAAAATATTTTCCGTTGTATATACAGAGTATAAGATATATGTAAAATTAATATACAATTATTTTAACTCTTTTTGAGTATATTTTTAATTATCATAATTTTATTGACTGTAGTTTCTACTGTTGGGTGGATAATTCATAATTTGTAAGAATAATTATTTAATTATTTTAATTGTAATATTTAAAAAAAATAATATTAATTACATACATAGATAGAAAAAAAAGTATGTTGCTGCGCGCGGGTCGACAATATCGACACATATTCGGCTAGTCGTATTTTTGGGAGCGGCGATACGGGAAAGGTTATTTAAGTCAACATTACATTACATTACATTAAATTAGAGGCAAATCATTCATTAATAAATTGAAAAATTAAACATAATAGATAAAATAATTGCAAAATTATTGATTAAAAAATTAAAAATTAAAAAATTTTAAATTAAAAATTTTCAAGTTTCTGATTTTTTCCTTTGTATTTACCTAACTACCTATCTGTATGCCAAATTTGAACTTTCTAGGTCATCTGGAACTGGGTTAGAATTTTGATCTATAGGTAAGTCAGTGATAAAAATGACGATTTTCGGACGTTAATATCTAAATAACGGTTTGAATTGTGTTTATGAAATTTAGAGCACATATGTATCTCGTTAGTCTCAATATATGAGCCAAATTTGACATGTTTATGTGGAATAGTTTTTGAGTTATGAGGGGGTCAAAAGTGGCTCTAAATGGTTCGTGTAATATTACACACGGTGCTGCTCGCCAGTTCTGTTAGCTAGAACTTGGCTTGACACTCTACCGCGTGTCTAGATATATATATAATTAATAAGCTATTTTATAATATTACTTTTCTTGCTTTTTTTAAAGCATATTATGTCATCGAAGTTTAAATAAGATGTAAGATCGCTTTTTGTTAATAGTAAACCTAAGTTATCAATTCTTTCTTATTAAAAATATACTTTAATTTATTTTCATTTACATTTTACAGATTAACTATTTATTTTTTTTGAAATATTATATGTTTCTTATATTTATTTTATACGATGAAAGTAGTACTCTAAAAAAAAAAAAAATAATGTTCATAAAAATCTGAGGCCCTCTAATAACGGAGGCCAAAGGCAGTTGTCTATCCTGCCTTATGGTAAATAAGGCCCTGCCTCTGCCAGAGTTTATTATTTTTATAATCAGAAAAAAAAGAATTTTGTTGTCAAAACAAGTATTCATACCTACTTTACCAGATAATAAAAAAAATATTATTACATCATTTTTTTCATATAACTGTCAATGGTATTATAATCAGTATTCAGTGGTGTAGTGGAGGGTACACGCGTTTACACGGCGTGTATTCACCTCCCAATTTTAGACTAATGCGTGTAGCCT